GTTTTGGTTGGATCTTCAAGAGCTTTTTATTTGTTACAATTACAAAACCACTTTTTTGGTTTTGATTTCTCTGCTTGTTTTGTCGTTTCTTCTAGAGGAAGTACTTTTATAGATCTCTCTACATATAGACACATACATGCATGCATGTATATACACATATTTGTATGTATATGTAACACATAACATTTAATTTGAATTTATTTGTTGAGGAGTAACAGTGGGTGGATGGGTGCCATATGCGTTTTCTCACTAAAGATAAGACAATCATTGGCCTATAAAATATTACCTACTATATATATTATAATTATAATAAAAAGAAGAAGGAAAGACAAACTACGGAATATGTTGGGGTTAAAGAATGTATTTTTTTTATAGGAACCTACTATTCTTTAACTAATGTTTCAACCTGAATACAGTAAAAGTTATAAAATCCCTTATTGATTTGACGTTAGTTGAACATGGAAGAAATTTGTAATTACGTACATACAACCCTAGGAAATATAACCCAAATTTGTTGTGCATAAATCTATTTTCTTTTCTAGTTTTTTTTCATCTGATTGTAATATTAAAATCAGTTGAACCACAAAACGAAAGCCACATAAAGAACCACAAGCTGGCTATCAACGTAAACGATACCAAAACCAAAAATCCACAATAGTAAAAATTAAGCCGACAACAAACAAAAAAACTCACGAAAGATTCAAACTAAACCATCGATACAATTTAAATAACAGAAATTTAAAAAGAGAAATACCACTAGAAAAAGAGCAAAATACTAGAAACACTCAAACTTTCTTTTCTTGCTATATAATTTAGTTTTGATTGATAGCATTAAGTAATCGTACTTTGGTTGTTTGTTTACTAAATCGTTGGTGGTTCATTTACCGCATTCGTTTTACTTAATAAAGAAAATACGAAATTAATATGTATATTTTTTTTTAAAAATATCGTGTATTTTATTTTATGATAACATTATTGTACACAATCTCTCTTTTAAAAGCAAACAC